GCAGCTTCTCATACCCAAGGCCATCCATGCCACAAGCCCAAAACTGAAGCACCATTCTGTAAATTGTAAGAATTGGAAAAAAAAAAAAAAAAAGGTAACATAACCTTTATTTCACCCCTGGCTTCCTCAGCCCCTTACCCAACCAGACAACCCTAAAAGCAAAATAGGCAAGTGTCACGGAGGGCATTTCATATAAAAATTTACAGGAGGGCTGGGAAGGTGGCGCAGTGGTAGAGTGCTCGCCTAGCATGCATGAAGCCCTGGGTTCGATTCCTCAGTGCCACATACACGGAAAAAGCCGGAAGTGGTGCTGTGGCTCAAGTGGTAGAGTGCTAGCCTTGAACAAAATGAGCTTAGGTACAGGGCCCAGGACCTGAGTTCAAGCGCCAGGACCGGTTAAAAAAATAGAAATAGATACATATGAGTCTATATATAAAGGAAAATTTAGAGTTTGAAGTAGCTAAAAGATTACTGGGTGGTCCATCCCTTGACTGGATTATTTATTCTGTCGGGGTTAGCTGATCTTCCATCTGCCTGTCTGCCTGTCGGTGTGTCTGTCTTTTTTTTTTTTTTTTTAAATGTGTGCCTGGGGCTTAAACTCAGGGCCCCGGTGCTGTCCCCAAGCTTTTGTGCTCAAGGCTGGTATTCTACCAGTTTAGCCACAGCTCCGCTTTTCAGCTTTTTGGAGATTAATTGGAGTTAAGTCTCATGGACTTTTCTGATTGGTCTGGCTTCCAACCTCAATCCTCAGATCTCAGCTTCCTGAATAGCTAGGATTATAGGCGTGAGCCACCAGAGGCTGATGTGTTTATTTATGTTGGCAGTATGAGTTAGGATTGAAGCCTGTTTGTGTATTACTTCACAATGTGATAAATTACATCAATTTATAATTCTGCAAATCCCTGGCCTGCAGAAGTGCAGACACATTCTGTCCGCTGGAGGCTGCCGGCCCATTGCTATGGAAATGCTGACCAGTTTTGCACCTGTCTGTAGATGCCTTTCAGCACTCCTGATTGACTAACTTGCCTAATTTGTTGACTTTGTCCTTTGTTTGTTTGTTTGTTTTTTTTTGGGTCCGTCGTGGGGCCTGAACTCTGGGCCTGGGCACTATCCCTCAGCTCTTGAGCTCAAGGCTAGTGCTCTACCACTTGAGCCACAGCGCCACTTCCGGCTTTTTTCTTTTTGCTTATGTGGTGCTGAGGAATAGAACCCAGGGCCTCAAGCATGCAAGGCAAGACCTCCACCACTGAGCCACCTTCCCAGCCCCCACTTCTAGTTTTTTGGTGGTTAATTGGAGATAAGAGTCTCTTGGACTTTCCTGCCTGGGCTGGTTTTGAACCTCAATCCTCAGATCTCAGCCTCCTGAGTAGTTAGGATTACAGGCGTGAGCCACTGGCACCTGGCTTAAATCATGATCTTGATGCAGGTGGGTCATGATGGAAAATGGAACAGCACTGAATGTTTTTATTATCAAGGGAAAAATAAGGTGGGGAATATATTTGATAACAGTAATAAGAATTGATAGAGCCAGGTACCAGTACAATGCCCAGGAATGACAAAAGGAAAACAAAAAACAACAACAACAAAAATAAACCACAGAGCAAAAAACCCGAAAGTCCAAAGATATGAAAATAACTCAGGGCTTGGGTGTGGTTCCTTAGCTTTTTCATTTACGGCTTACACTCTGCCCTTTGAGCTACAGCTCCAATTCTGGCTTTCTGCTGGTTAATTAGGTGTTACATTTCATGGACTTTCCTGCCTGAGCTGGCTTCAAACTGTGATCCTCAGTTTTCAGCCTCCTGAGTAGCTGGGATTATAGGTATATGCACTGGTGCTGGGCGCTAAAATAACATTAAGAGAACATGAAATGGATCTCTAGGGGCAAAAGAACTGAAAAGGTAGAGAGCACAGTTTAAGCAGAGTAGAGTGCAGAGCCGCTGGGGGTGTATGAAAGAGGCACAAGGTTTGTAAAAGGCTGGCAGCCCAGAACGGAGCCCACGGTTAGCAAGGGAGTCAATCACCGCAGCTCACTGAGAGCCGCGGGAAGAGCTCAGCTGGTTCCCCACATAGCCCAGCTTGGAACAACCAACAACCAGGCAGAGGCAGCACGCACCAAACCACAGACCAACTCGGCTCCTGCATGCAGTGAAAATGCCAGGTAAAAGGCGAGGAGCTGAACCACAGCCATGCACTGAAACAAAATCCAGCCTGGGGCGCAGGATGGTGGCCCCCCCCCCCCCCGCCCCTCTGCGGCAGCTTGGTGAGTAACTGCCAACCCCGAATGCTTACAGCAAAGCACACTGAAGATACTTGATGAATTCAGCCACACAGCCAGAGGTGAAATGGAGAAGAGAGTCAGAAAGACCAGCACCCAAAGGAAACGCACGCGCTCTGACCTCGGGGAATTCTAGCGCCAATCGTGTTCCAACTAGACTCTCAACTGCGGCCTGGGAGGATCAACGCCGCTGTCTGGAGGCAATAGGACAAGAAAACAATAAATCCTGCGACTCCTGTGAGGGCAGAGATGGTCTGGAAATGGGGACGATCACAGTCCTCATAAAGCATCGGTACTGGATCGCTCAAATTTCCAATACTTAGTACTCATTAATACCCATTTCAGCTAAGAGAGTTCAACAAATATACTAAAATGGCTTTTTTTGGTGGGCAGGGTGGTGGTGGTCCTGGGGCTTGAACTCTGGGCCTGGCCGCTGTCCCTGAGCATCTTTGTGCTTAAGGTCAGCACTCTGCTCCTTGAGCCACAGTGCCAATTCTGTTTTTTCTTTTTTTTTTGTCTGAGTAGCTTAAGTCTCATAGACTTTCCTGCTTAGGCTGGCTTCAATCTGTGGTCCTCAGATCTCAGCCTCCTGAGTAGCTAAGATTATAGGTGTAAGCCACAGCCACCAGGCTTTCAAATGGCTTTTATGCTTGCATCAAGAAACTATTTTAGGGGCTAGGCAGGTGGCTCAGTGGTGGAGTACTTGCCTTGCATGCATGAGGCCCTGGGTTCAAATCCTCAGCACCACATAAGCAGAAAAAGCTGGAAGTGGCGCTGTGGCTCAAGTGGTAGGGTGTTGGCCTTAAGCTGAAGAGCTGAGGGACAGCGCCCAGGCCCAGAGTGCAGGCCCCACGATTGACAAAAACAAAACAAAGCCACTTTAAAATGAAAATAAATCCTATAAGAAGCTAAAAGCTTAAATAGTCTCTGTATAGTTATATGTAATCTTAATGAACAATGTTTATAATAATAATAAAATACCTTGAGATGGAATTACTACTTAAAATACTTTTCTTTTGCCAGGCTCAATAGCTCATGCGTATAATCCCAGCTACTCAGCAAATAAGAGAGATCATGGTTCTAGACCATCCTGGGCAAAGTCAGTGAGGCCGCTTTTGAACGCACAGGCTGGGCATGGTGGGGCATGCTATGCACAGAGCAGGCGTAGGATTAGTGAACATGGCTGTCCCGGTACACAAACCAATTAACACCCTATCAGAAAAATAAAGCAAGAGGAGCTAGAGGGCTTGTTTCTGGGGTCCTGAGCTCACACCCCAGTTCCGCTCACTCCCCACAAAAGTTGGGCTTTATTAGTTCATAGAGAGGAAGTGGGGGGACCCCAACCCCAGCCCTGTATGTCTCCTCAGAGAAGTTTCCCTAGCTTGCTGCTCAGGCCTGGAGCCCGGGTGTATGAAGGTGTCATTGCCTATCCGAGCCTCTTTGATTTTATTTGGTAAGTTCGTGTTAGGAAGTATGAAAGTGGACTCTTGTCTCCCGGATCTCTGAGTCTCCTTCCCATCCTCCACTCCCTCCATCCGCGGAGAGCTGCGGTTTATCCACTCTAGAGAATCTCCTTAGGCAGAAATGGGGAATTACAGTTTGCTCTTGGGTGCCACCTACCGACCAACTAGCAATTTAAAGGGGAACACAATTTGAATTTTCCTGTCTTCAATATATCCATGCATGGGAAAACCTAAGGAGCCATTTCCTGGCCCCTCATCTAGGCCTGGGACCTATACGGATATTAACAGCTCAAGAACACTCCTAGAAAATCCTGTCAAATCTTGAGGAATTTAAATGTTTTTATTTTTATTTTTGGCGGTCTTAGGGCTTGAACTCAGGGCCTGGGCGCTATCCCTCAGCTCTTCAGCTCAAGACGAAGGCTCTACCACTTGAGCCACAGCGCCACTCCTGGTTTTCTGGTGATTTATTGGAGATAAGAATTTCACAGACTTTCCTGCTCAGGCTGGCTTTGAACAGCAATCCTCAGATCTCAGCCTTCTGAATAGCTAGGATTACAGGTGTGAGCCACTGGCACCCAGCTAGAAATTTAAATCTTATTTACATCAGTCTGCAGTTTCAAATAAAAAGTTGGGTAGACCCCTTTAGATAGCACATGTATTTGATGTAACTATGCAGGAGAGATGTTGTGGGATGTTTATGAGAGGACTAAGCCTTTGGTTATCCTTAATTTCACAGTTATTTACACCCCCAGATCACAGCCTGACTCCCAAGTATTAATATTTTTCATCCTAATCACTTTATTAGCGGCCCATTTGCTTGTCAGCAATGAACACTGTTTCCTGAGCACTGATGTTGCTTTACGTAAACGAAAAGGTTCTTTGCCCGTGGCTGCAGGTGCTCAGGAGGCTGAGACCTGAGGATCGTGGTTGGAGGCCACCTCCAGGCAGGGAAAGGCTGCGAGGCTCCTGTCTCCAACTGGTCAGCAAAAAAGCTGGGAGCAGATCCGTGACTCAGTGGCAGAGCACTCTAGCCTTGAGTGAAACTGCTCAGGGACGGAACCCAGGAACCCAGGCTTGGGGTTCAAGCCCCAGGACCCCCACCGAGAAAACCGCGTTGGAAACATCTATCCACTACGTTAATGGCTGTGTTTAGTTCCAGCTTTTAGCTGCAACCCGTGGGTCAAGTCCAGGCTTCTACAACAGCTGGAGGCGATTCCGAGGAAGTTTCCAGATGGTTACAGCTTAATGAAAATCACAGTACGCAGTAGAAAATACAATTTATTATGTGTGTGTCGCAATGATCCATCACACCTGGGGAGCGGGCGTGCGGCGAGCCTCGGGGGTCCGGCCCGGGATTCGCCCTGTCGGGGCCTAGTCCGGGATGGAGTCTGCCGGGCAGAGCAGCGCGGGGTGCGCGGCCGCCTGGATGATGGAGAAGCTGGGCTTGGGCAGGTCGGGCTGCGCCGCCGAGAAGATGGGCGGCGCGGCCGAGGCCACGGCCATGCTGGGGCCGCCGTCGCTGACCACGGTCACCTCGGCCACCTCGGCCGTCCCCTCCTGGATCAGCGCGTTGAGGCCCTCGAAGTCGGCGCAGGAGATGCCGGGGCTGGCGATGAACGTCTGGCCGCCGGCGCCCTCCTGGGGCCCGGCGGGCGCGGCGGGGAGGAGGGTCTGGGCCGGGGCGGCCAGCAGGACGGGCGGGCTCCCCGCCGGGGCGGCCGGGGCCGGCGCGATCAGGCTGACCTGGCGCAGGATCTGCAGCCGGCCGCCGGCCGCCGCCAGCTCCTCGGCGCCCGGGGCCACCAGGCCGAGCGCGGCGGCGGCGGCGGGGGCGGCAGCCGCCTGCACCACGGCGGTGGCGGCGGCCGCGTCGGCCGGGGGCACCTGGGGCCCCACGATGATCTTCACCCGGCCGCCCTCGCCGAAGGCGGCGGGTGCCGGGCCCGGCGGCAGCGGCGCCTTGCCGGGGTGGAGCTGGAGCTGGAGCACCGCCACGTCGGCGGCGGCGGCGGCGGCGGGGCCCGCCTTGGGGCCGGGGCCCGGGCCCGCGTGGCCGTGCTGCCGGCGGTGGCTGCGCAGCGAGTCGGCGCGCATGAAGGCGGCGTCGCACGCGTCGCAGTGGAAGGTCTTCTTGGCGTCCAGCCGCGCCAGCTGGCGGCCGCCCTGGCGGCCCGGCTCGCGGCGGCCGGCCGGCGGCGCGGGCGGCGCCAGGTGGCCGTGCGTCTTCTTCAGGTGCTTGCTCAGGTTGCTGGGCTGCTTGGTGTCGAAGCTGCAGAAGCTGCACTTGAAGGGGCGCTCGGCGCAGTGCACGCGCTCGTGCACGCGCAGCGCCGCCTTGCTGGCGCTCGAGTAGCTGCACTGCGAGCACTTCTCGGGGTGCTCGGCCTGGTGCGCGCGGCTGTGCTTGCGCAGCGCCGCCTTGCTGTCCCCCACGAAGGCGCAGTGCGGGCACTGGAAGCGGTCCCCGCTGTGCTTTATGCGGATGTGCGACTTGAGGTTCCCCTTCATGGTGCAGCGCACGTGGCAGAACTCGCACTTGAAGGGCTTCTCCCCCGAGTGCACGCGCATGTGCCGCTTCAAGTCCGAGCTGATTTTGAACTTGGCGCTACACAGCCAGCACTGGAAGGGGGCGTCCCCTGTCAACACAAGGTGAGTTTCCATAAGAACACGAAGGCAACAAGGGCAGGGGCCCACCCCGGGGCGCACAGCACACCGGCGCCCCCGGGAGGCTGCGGGCCGCACTGCGGGAGGGGGCGGGGCGGAGGGGAAGGAAGGGGGAGGGAAGGGGAGGGAGGGAGGTGAGGGAAGGGGAGGGAAGGAAGGGGGGAGGTTCTTTTCTAACCTAAACCTCCCGCTGCAGCCTCTGGCACAGCCCTGCCCCTAGTGGAACCCAGCAGTGTGGGAGAGGGAAGACGCATTCATTCAGTGGTTCCCAGATACACGCCTGTCGTCCTAGCTACTCAGGAGGCTGAGCAATGAGGACTGCGGTTTGAAGCCAGCCCCGGCAGGGAAGTCTGTGAGACTCTCTAAGGAATCACCAAAAAGCCAGAAGTGGAGGTGTGGCTCAAGTAGCAGAGCGCTAGCCTTGAGCAGAAAAAGCCCAGGGAGAGCGCCCAGGCCCATTACTGGCATGCACAAACACACATCCACGTGTGTACACGTGCAAATCTACTTTATATCGCCTTTGAAACAATCAAGCTGCGGTTTGAATAGTTAAAGCACCCGCTTCAGTAGTTAATGGTTCACAGCGTGCTTGAGTTACATGTGGTGATGGATTCAGTGTTCCCACAGGCCCGGCCACGTGTGATTCAAGCACCACATGCCAGCCACGTGTGCCCACGTATTCCTTTCACAGTGACTCAAGCACCGCTTTCTACTCATGCAGATTGTTTTCTTAATAGAGATGTGTTTATTGCACAACATTTATTTATCCCATATGCCGGCTGCATTTGTTACTCATGAAGTTATAGAATCCAGCTGTTTGTTTTATTTATTTCTTTTCAATAAGTTCTTATTTGCTGAGGGATGAGCAGGAGAGTGAAACTGCAAACATCTGAAGGAACACTAGGCGCCAGATTTCTCTCTCCACAAACACCAAGTGCAAATTAGCTAAGGCGCCCATAATTCAAATTGGTGATCCCCGCCCCCCGCCCCCGCCATTTCCATACTGCTTAAACAGGCACCATGGCTGGCACTAGAACACCTAAGAGTCTAAGATTGTTTCTGAGACGGCGGTGCGGCCCTCATCTCTCCCCAAGGTTACCCCCACGAGGTGTGCACTGGTATGGATGTCAGTTCCAACACTGTAAGGTGTTCATGTGGAAGGTCATAGCTCACCTAGCTGTTTGTTTACTCCAAGTATGATTTCTCAGGCCATCCACCCAAAGAATAGACTCATCCACCCAAAGAATGTTCCTGCTTTGGGATATGCAACCTACACGTCACTGTGTGCAGTTCAAAGCTCCAATGAGAGGCGCGTGGAGCTGCCCAGGAGGTCTCATCCTCAATAGGGGGCTAAGGGTTAGGCTAACCGGGAACTGAGTTTTATGATGAGATTGTACTGAGATCAGGTGCCGTAAACTCCCACACCAGGGGTGGGAAACCTCGGCCTGGGACCAAGTCATGCCTGCAGCTCGTGTCTGCAGATAAAGCTTCCCTGTTTGTTTATGCATGGTTGCTCTCACAGTTCACAGCATAGCAGCACAGCTGATGCCGGCCCCTAAGTCTAAGGTATTTATTTAATTTTTTTCTGTTGGTCGTGGGGCTTGAATTCTGGGCCTGGATGCTGTCTCTGAGCTCCTTTTGTTCAAGGCAGGAGCTCTATCAGTTGAGCCACAGCGCCACTTCTGGCTTTTTCTGCTTATGTGGTGCTGAGGAATCAAACCCAGGGCCTCATGCATGCAAGGCAAGCGCTCTACCACTGAGCCACCTTCCCAGGCCCAGTCTAAGGTATTTATTATGCAACCTTCTACACATAAGCATTTGCTTTTTCAGGTATGGCTGTCACCCCTGTGCCCTACACCAGACAAAAGTCAGGACTTCACATGAGCTCTGGGCAGCTCAATCCCCAGTAGCTACTGCTGATCTTGATTCTCAGATCTCAGCCTCCTGAGTAGCCAGGATTACAGGTGTGAGCTAGCCTCCTGAGTAGCCAAGATTACAGGTGTGAGCTACTAGCACCTAGCAAGCATGTTTTAAATACATAGAACTAAAATTAAAAGAAAAAAAAGGAATATAAAAGACATCAAGCATATAAAAATAGTTACTGAAATAGTTATTAAAGTAGTAAAAGAAAAATCTGTCCCAGGAGCACGTGTGCTTTATCAGTGAATCGAACAGGAAGCTGAGCGGCGGGTGGTGTGACTGGAGTAATTTTGTAAACGGAGACGCACGTCAACCATGCTTTACTGCAGCTGATTGGCTGTGTAGGTGACATCTGAATTCTTCTGGGGACCAGTTATAGGTGCCAGCCTTCAGTCAAGTTCCCAATCAAGTTCATGAATCTTCCTCCTGAATTCTATTCATGTGGGATACCACTGCTAGGATCCCTGACCAGAATGTTCCATGGGGTTCTAGTTACCTCCCTGCCCACAGCACAGTGACAAGTGTCGCATGATGTTAGCAGTCACTGGAGAAAAACCAGCCGACAGGGCTCACAGATCACACAGCCTGACCTGGAAGCAACACGCCTGAGACCTTTTATCCTCACAGTTAACTAAAATTTCTTTCTTTCTCTTTGCCAGTCCTGGGGCTTGAACTCAGGGCCTGGGCACTGTCCCTAAGCTGCTTTTTGCTAAAGGCTAGCACTCTACCACTTGATCTATAGCACCACTTCTAGCTTTTTTTTTTTTTTTTTTGGGTCTGGTCGTGAGCCTGAACTCTGGGCCTGGGCGCTGTCCCTCAGCTCTTCAGCTCAAGGCTAGCGCTCTACCACTTGAGCCACAGCGCCACTTCCAGCTTTTTTTCTTTTTGCTTATGTGGTGCTGAGGAATCGAACCCAGGACCTCAGGCATGCTAGGCAAGCGCTCTACCACTGAGCCACATTCCCAGCCCAAATTTCTTTCTCTTATTGTATGTCTGTGTTGATACCCAGCCTTGAACTTTTGCTTGGCTTTCTTGCCAACACTTGGCATTCTACCACCAGAGCCATGCCTCTAGCCCTGATTTTTGCTGGTTATTTTGAAGTCAAGTCTCAAAGACTTTTCTGTCTGGGCTGGCCTTGAAACATGATCCTGAGATCTCAGCCTGTTGAGTAGCTAGGAGGACAGGCGTGAGCCACTGGTGCCTGGCTACAAATTAACTCACCAAATGAGTCACCCCTGAGCTCGAAGCTCAGAGGGCTCCGGATGCTATGGGTCTACGATGTGGAGCAGCAGGGGGAGCGTGGGCAACAAATAAAGGGATGTCACCAGAGCTTCCTTGAGTTTAGGTTGCTATTAAAATGATCAAAAGCCAGGTGCTGGTGGCTCACGCCTGTCATCCTAGATACTCAGGAGGCTGAGATCTGAGGATTGCGGCTCAAAGCCAGCCTGTCAGTCTCATTTCCAATGAACCACCAGAAAATGGGGAGTGGTGCCATGGCTCAAGTGGTAGAGCACTTAAGCTGAAGAGCATAGGGCCAGCGCTCAGACCCAGAGTTCAAGACCCACAAAAAACAAAGCAAAACAAAACAAAAAACAACGGACAGGAGACAACAGGTGCCGTGAACTTAAAAAACTTGACCGCGTTACAGCCTCATAGAGGAGAAAGCGACAACGAATAGAGACACGGATCAAAGTGCTCCCAGAAATTGCTTATCATGTCCCCACAAACCCCTCAGCTCCTGTGACACGGCTGGGGAAGGTGGCCGAAGGAAATCTTGTCCAACACAGTCTTAGCTTGCTGTAGAAGCTCACACGGCTGTCCCCAAGTCTGCCACCTCCCGTGCCACCCTGTGGTACCCCCTGCCTCCTGCGCATGCATGCTCCCCCAAAACAAGGGTGGGGTGACCCTCTGTGACCTTTGGCCACAGGCTCCACCGTGGTACTGGACGCAGTTGGACTATTTGGGATAATCAAGCCTCTCTGACGGGAATGGTGGTCTGGAATGGCCTTGTCACCCACCTTGCCTGAGCCACTCCTGGCTTAAGCCCGGATCCCAGGAGGCGGGTGACTGCCTCGCTGTGTGGAGCTGGCCGGAGCTGGTGCTCGTCCGGCAGCGCAGGTGGGCAGCCAGCCCTGGTCACGGGGTCCTCAGTGGGTGCCGGCTGACCCATTGCTGCCTGATTGAGGACTTGGGGGGTTCATTCTGTGCGTCACTGTGACTCCCTGACTCCAGAGACTGGAAGCTAGAGATGGATCGAGTTTGGGGGTTTGGGATGGAGCCACAGGTATAGGCTGGAAAGATGGCATTCTACATCAAATGGTGAATACTCAGCAAAACTCATTTGTGATCCCTTAGAAGACAGTTTGGGACTTGCACGAAGAGATACTAAGCACCAGAGTGAAGGGGTTTTACAGGCCGAATATGTGATTAAGTACTACAAGAAAGAAAATACGTTAAAAAAGAATCCATTTCCAAGCAGAATTGAGAAGGCATAGAGAAAGTGGAAGATTTGCTGAAGACAGTTTTTATCTTCTCAAAGTTAGACTAGGGCCAGAGGACAGCGATGTTGAGGTAGTTCATCGCTAAATGTTAAGTCCACATGGGAACCAGGAAGCCCTAAGGTAATGCCTTTAAAACTCGCCAGGGAGCCGGCGGCTCACGCCTGTAACCCCAGACACGCAGGAGGTTGAGATCTGAGGATCATGGTTCAATGCCAGCCCAGGCAGATAAATCCCAGAAACGTCTATCTCTAATGAACCAACCAGAAGCTGGATGTGGGGGGTGTGGCTCAAGTGGCAGAGCGCCAGCCTTGAGTGAAAAAACTACGAGGCAGCGTCCAGGCCCTGAGTTCAAGTCCTAGTACTGGCACAGAAACAACCTGCCAGGAATTAAGCTGGTGTGGAGCAGCTCTGTTGACTGGCTGTCTGGCCACCCAGCTACCCAGCACCCAGGGCAGATTGTGGGGAGACAGTACCGATCACCGAGTTTAGAAAGAGAAGCAAGATTTCAAAAGAGGGGCGTGGCTTTTGGCACCAAGATAAATGAGAACCACCTGGTTTTTAAGATAGCTCTATTGGTGAAATGAACACAGACTGGTCTGCAGCCTAACTAGAAGCCCCTCCTGCTCCAAGCTTCCCGGAGTCCATTCTGTCATTCTTTCCCACGTGGCTAAGGGAGGCGTAGGAAAGGAGGTCCCGGTGGCAGAAGCATGAACCAGGAGCGCCCAACACCGGATCAGGAAACCTCCCGGCCCCAAGTGTGGGCCGTGGTCTCCGCCAGGGCTCTCCAACAGGCTGGGTGCGATTTTGGAGGGCGTGAATGTGTCCGCCTGTCAGGGAGGCAGGCCCCATGCTAGGGATAAAGAGGGAGTGCGGCTGTAAAAACGCTCCCGATTCTTCCTCCCTGAGGAAGGTCTCCGACCTCTGACCTCTCCCCCGTGACCTGTGGTGAGGCGGGCTGGGTGCACTCTGCCTGTCCCCAGCACCAGGCCCGGCCCCACGGCTTGCCGTGCACACAGTGCTCTAAGCAGGTGTATACATCAGGGCTTGCTTGCACCTCTGCCACAGTCCCAGGAGGACCGACGATAACGGAGCAGTGCCAGAGTGCCCAGCCGAGGCCAGCCACAGCCGGCTGGGGCTCAGCCACGCCCCGTGGACATCCAGCCTTCCCCACACAGGGGCTAAACTAGCCAACAACAACAATCCTCTCCTGGCCTGAAGTATGTGGGCAACAAATTGTTCATTACAATAGGCCACCAAGGTAATGGTTGTTACACAGCATCATTACACTGGTGGCTAGATGATACCAATACACATACCAAAAGGAGAATAGTTTGTTGAATCATCTACTCTGTTGATTTTGGGGTGTGCGCACACAGTGTTGGGGATGCCTCCCGGCTTCTCACATGCTAGGCAAGGCTTTTACCACTGAGCCTCATGCTAAACCTACCAGTACACTTAAAAAATTACTAAAATGCCTAACCACCATGCAGACATTCATTGCTTTTGTGTGTGTGTATGTGTGCATGATGGTTCTGGGGCTTGAACTCAGGGCCTAGGTGCTGTCTCTCAGCTTTTTCACTCGAGATTGGCACTCTGCTACTTGAGCCACAGCTCTTGGAGTGGTTAATTGGAAATGAGTCTCACGGGCTTTCCTGCTCGGGCTGGCTTTGGACTGCGGTCCTCAGACCTCAGCCCCTCAAGCAGCTCAAATTACAGGTGTGGCCACCAGTGCCTGGCTGACTCGCGTTGCTTGGGTGGCTAGTCTAGGAATGCATGTTCACAAACACATCTTTTCGCAGGGAATGACATGGGTGTGTGGCTGTGACACACGTGCGTCGCCCCCCGCCGCGGCACTCACCGGTGTGCGAGCGCAGGTGCACGGTGAGCTGGCTGGAGTTGCGGCTGGCGTAGGGGCACAGCTGGCACTTGAAGGGCCGCTCGTCCGAGTGGATGCGCAGGTGCTTGTTGAGGCTGCTGCTGTCGGCGGCCGCGTAGTCGCAGGTCTTGCACTTGTAGGGCTTCTGGCCGGTGTGGCAGCGCGTGTGCGTCTTCAGCTTGTCCTTCCGGCTGAAGCACTTGCCACACGTGTCACACTTGTGCGGCTTGTCTCCTGCATACACAGGACACACCAGCTATCACGCACCGGGACACACAACCCCGAAACGTACACCCGTGGAGGGCAAGTTGGTTATTGCAATTATTTGCTTATTTTTAAAAGAGGAATATGAATTCTTTATTAATTAAAATAGAAGATTAACTAAGACAAGAGTTTAAAGTATAGCCAGGGATGGGGTGGGGATTGAGAACATGAAGGAAGGCTGTCGTTGTCCAAAGAGAAACATACTCATTCTCTGACTTACGAAATGGTGACCCCCTTGTACAACACCTTAACCAGAACAATAACGCTATATTGAAAGGGCTGGGAAGGTGGCTCAGTGGTAGAGTGCTTGCCTAGCATGCGTGAAGCCCTGGGTTCGATTCATCAGTACCACATACACAGAAAAGGAAGAGGTGCTGTAGTTCAAGTGGTAGAATGCTAGTAGCCTTGAGCAAAAGCAGCTCAGGGACAGTGCCCAGGCCCTGGGTTCAAGCCCCAGGACTGAAGAAAAAAAAATTAAACTATACAATGCAAAGTAAAAGTATTAGGGCCTGGGTGTTTTTTTTACTCAAGTCTGTTGCTTTACCACTTGAGCCACAGCTCTACTTCTGGCTTTTTGTTGATCAACTGGAGGTAAGACTCTCAGAGACTTTTCTCTGGGGCTAGCTTCTAACTGTGATCCTCAAATCTCAGCCTCCTGAGTAGCTAGGATTACAGGTGTGAGCCACCAGCACCTGGCTGAGCACCGGGGGCTGCCACATACTCTCTGTGTTAGGCATATGGGGCGGGGGGGAGGGCTGGTTGCCCTCAGCTGACACTGCAAGGTCAGAGTCCCGGGAGGGCTGCTGTTCCTCAGGGCCCCTGCTGTCTACGGTGACCCTGCAGTGCTGCTGGGCGAGCTTCAGGGCCACAGAAACTGCATGCGCATGGGCTCAGCTGGGTGTGTGCGCACAGGGGAGATTCAAAGTCGTCTCGGTTTCTGTTTCCCAGTGGCCGATCCCCACCGGTCAGCGCTAACCACGCTGTGCCTGGCGGATGGGCTGTGCCTGGCGGATGGGCCGTGCCCACTCAGAGCCGCATGGGGGCCAGGCCCTTCCTGTAAGAGGCTCTCCGCTTCCTCAACGCGGAACCTGCTGCACCAGAACGAAGCCCAGCAATGCACGCCATGCCGGCACTGAGACGGTGATGGCCCTGGGTGAGGACGAACAGCCCGGCCAAGGGACCCGGAAGCCACGTCGTCAGACTCACTCACTGCCGCGCGGCTGGTGAGCACAGTGCCCCCCACAGACAGCTGGTCGACTAAGCCGGGTGTCTGTCTGTCCTCCTTATTTCCCTCCCTCCCTCCCTCCCTCCCTCTGTCGTTCGTTTTTGGTGACACTGAGGTTTGAACTCAGAGCCTGTGCTTGCGCGGCAGGTATTATTCATACAAGTCCGCATCCTTTACACATGAGCGTTAAGTTCTTGCCTTAAAATTGCCTAAAAGTGCCATGTGCTGGTGGTTCACGCCTGTCGTCCTAGCTTAAGAGGCGGAGAGCGAAGGATCAAAGTTCAAAGCCAGACTGCTGTCCAGGAGGCTCTTATCCTCAATTCACTAGCAAAGAGTTGAAGTGGAGGCCTGGCTCAAGTAGTAGAGCACTCGCCGTGAGTGGGGAAAGCCAAGTGAGAGCGCGAGGCCCCGAGTTCAAGTCTCAGTATCACTGGTGCGCACGCGCACACAACCAAAATCCTGGTAAACACCAAAGCAATGCCTCCCTGCAAAACCGGGTTCTCCATTGGTGGCTTCAACCACAAAGACAAACCACAACAGTAAGAAGTCGTGGCACAGCCACCACTTCTGGAGTATGCTGCTTGTCAGTGACTCAGCGCTCTGCGCTGCTGCGAGGCTCTGGCCGGCTGAGCCGCTTCCTTCTTAGCCCCCGATTCTTCTTTGGTTGGTGTTATCCACTGCTCGTACAGAGGTGTGCGGTTCCAGACGCAGGTTTGAGCACATGCAGCTTGGCCAGTGGCGCTCTTTCCATACTCCCCATCATCCCCCCTCCTGCTCTACTCAAGTCCCGTAGTTAACTTCTACACAGTGTGCGTTAAATATAATGACTGCATTTACTCCCCGTTCTCTCCTCCATTCCCAGGCCACCCCGCTGCTCCCCCAGGGAGGAGTTCCACCCTGGATCCTCCCCTAGCGTACCGTCCCTTAGTCAGTTTGTGTGTGAATATGCACAAAACCATGTCCATGGTACCACCTGGGGTTGTACTTTAGGTCTAGTTAAGTTATTCATTTTTTCTTATTTTGCCAGTCCTGAGGCTTGAACTCAGGACCTGGGCACTGTCCCTGAGCTTCTTTTGCTCAAGGCTAGCACTTTACCACTTGAACCACAGTGCCACTTCTGCCTTTTCTGTTTGTGTGGTACTGAAGAATCAAACCCAGGGCTTCATGCATGGAAGGCAAGCACTCTACCACTAAGCCACATTCCAGTCCTAATTAAGTCATTTTCTAGAAGGGACTTGATCTTCTTCAGATTGGCATCTTGGGGTAGGGTAGGGCTCTGAAAGCAACACAGACATAAAGGGGTGCCGGTATTAAATACAATTAAGGTTAGCGAGAGCAACCACCTTTCTCCTTCTCTGCGTCTATTTATCTCTCTGGTACTGAGGTCTGAGTTTGGGCTCCTCCTTGTAGGCTGACTGTTTTGGTACTTGAGCACCACCCCTTGCCATTTTTGCTTTAGTTACTTTTAGGTAGAATCTTTTTTTTTTTTTTGCCAGTCCTAGGACTTGAACTCAGGGCCTGGGTGCTGTCCTTGAGCTTCTTTTGCTCAAAGCTAGCACTCTACCACTTGAGCCACAGCTCTACTTCTGGCTTTTTCTGTGTATGTGGTACTGAGGAATCGAACCCAGGACTTTGTACATGTTAGGTGAGCACTCTACCACAAAGCCACCTGCCCAGCCCTAGGTAAAATCTTATAGTTTTGGGCAGGGCTGGCCTGGCTTTGGGTTGAGGGCAGTCTCATTTTCTGAAGCACAGGGCCCAGGTTGGTCTCAAGTCCCCATCTTGCTGATTTCTACTTCCCAAGTAGCTGGGATTACAAGCAGAGGCCACCATGCCCAGCCTTTCCCCTGTCCTTCGCGAGCGTGTGTACTCACGTGCATGCCAGTACTGGCGCTTGAAATTAATAGGGCACCCTGGCTTGGCGCTCTACCACTTGAGCCACAGCTCCAATTCCAGCTTTTTGGTGGTTCATTGGAGATAGGTCTCGTGGACTTTCTTGCCTGGGCTAGCTTTGAACCCAAGTCTCAGATCTCAGTCCCTGAGTAGCTGGGAGCCACCAGCACCTGGCTCAGGGCTGCATTTTTACTGCCATAGACATGTTCAGCCTACTTCCTGGGTAGAGGAGTCCTCTGTGTGATGTCACTGTAGGCTGCTCCCGTGTGCGCCGTGGGGGCTGGGGGCCGCGTGGGGCTCTCTCGGGGACGGGGATGGGACGTGTCACTCACCGGTGTGAATCTTCAGGTGCCGCTCCATGTCCTTCATGCCGTAGGCCGTCTTGAATTGGCAACCTAAACAAACAAAGCCAAGGGGGGATTGGCTGAGAACGGAAACCTGGCTATGGAGCGGAGAAAGCGGCAGAAATGTCCCGCGCTGACACGGGCCACCATCACAGCAAGCGCACCAACCTCACGGTCGCCCCACCCCTGAACTCAGGTAGGAATGTCATAGCCCGCCTCACACCAAGGATTCCTGTGGTCCTCGGAAACTGCACCACCTCAGTCCACCACAAGGAGGCACCAGACAGGCCCAATGGAGGCCCAGTGGCAGTGTGCTGGCCTAGCATGCGCTAAGCCCTGGGCTCCATTCCTCAGTACCACAGACACAGAAAAAGCTGGAAGTGGTGCTGCGGCTCAAGTGGCAGAGTGCCAGCCTTGAGCAAAAGAAGCTCAGGCCTTGAGTTCAAGCCCCAAGACTAGGGGAAAAAAAAAAGTGTGGAACTACACCTGTAGCTCACGCCTCTCAGCCTAGCTGCTCAGGAGTCTGAGATCTGAGGATTGAGGATCAAAGCTAGTCCTGGGCTGGAAAGGCCATGAGAGTCTCCAATTAACCACCAAAAAGCTGGAAAATGGAGCTGTGGCTCAAGTGTAAAAAGCTAAGCGAGGGTATGAGTTCAAGCCCCAGGTCTGGCACACACACAAGCGTGTGTACACACACACACACACACACACACGTTTCAGAATCACAAGAGAGAAGTCTGTCTGCTTATGAATAGAGAAGATGAAGACCCAGACATGGTGAGTGGGCCCGGGCTAGGGCGTAGGACAGACACCTGCTTAGAAGCGGGTCCCCAAGAAGCCGCTGGGCACAGTGTGCAGATCGCCCAGTCCTGCCGTGCCCCTCCCTCCCCCCAAATGCTAACGTCTTCACGTTGAGAACGGTCCTGTGCCACATCAAACAGAAGTCCTTGTTTGACAAAGCAAGTACAGGAGAGTGTTAACATGCGGGGGGGGGGGGGGAGGGGGGCATGGAATGTGAGACAGACGGGGCCCCTGCAGGTTCTGCATAAGTCCGAAAGGTTTCTAAGTCGTAAGTTAAACGCCCCGTGGCCGTGGGCCTCAGAGCCACCACGAGGCCTGGTGACCAGCACACCGAGGAGGTGGCATGTGCTCTGTAGAGCTACAGAGCACTTTTTTTGGGGGGGGTGTGGGGATGGGGGGGCAATACTGGAGTTTCAAAATCTGCGTCTCCCACTTAGTTGGTTTACCTGCTTGTATCTGGTGGTGCTCTACCACCCGAGCCATGCCTCCAGTCTAGCCTTTTGCTGATTAGTTTAGAGATGGGAGTCTCAAGGACTTTTCTGCCCAGGCAGGCTTAGAACCTTGATCCTCCTCCTAAGTAGTTAGGCGGACAGGCATGAGCTACCAGCGCCTGGCTAGGGCTCCATTTTTTTAAGCCAGGTGCTTTGGCTGTGGGAATGGACAGAAGAGCCCTGGAGCCAGGACTTGTGGTCCGCCCTGTGCCCACTGGGAGGCTACCTGGGTAGCAGCAGTTCAGCCTCTTCTGGGCAGGGGCGGCCGCCGGCTTTTTGGTGCGTGACTTGGCAGGGAGAGAGATGACGGTGGTGGTCTGGCTCTCGCTGCTTTCCGTCGGCAGGTACGTTTGATAGCCATGTTCAAACACAAACTCCGGAGCTGAAACTAAACGAGGGGCGCCTGTCAATATCCTAAGTGTGAACATCCACAGCCATTTGCTTTGTCCCACCAAACCTGCCAGACTGCCTTCCCTTGGCGGTCAGGAGTGATCATGTGACCTAGTGGCAGCCAATGAAGCACTAGAGAATGTCTGGAGCTTCTGTCGAGGATTTTTCTTTTTTTTGGGTCCAGTCGTGGGCCTGAACTCTGAGCTTGGGCACTGTCCCTCAGCTCTTCAGCTCCAGGCTAGTGCTCTACCACTTGAGCCACAGCGCCACTTCCATCTTTTTTTTTCCTGCTTATGTGGTGCTGAGGAATCGAACCCAGGGCCTCATGCATGCAAGGCAAGTGCTCTACCACTGAGCCACCTTCCCAGCCCCTGTCAAGGATTTTCCTTGGAAGTGGCGCTGTGGCTCAAGTGGTAGAGCACTCTCCTTGAGCTGAAGAGCTGAGGGACAGCGCCCAGGCCAAGAGTTCAAGACCCATGACCAACAACAACAACAACAAAATGTTTTCTTCCTGAATTTAACAAACAAACTTTGAGGGTTGGGAAGGGAAGAGCGGAGGAAAGTTCTTTCTGGAAGCCCTGTATATATATATTTTTGTTTTGCTTTGCTAATCCCAGGGCTTGAGCTTGAACATGACCCTCCCACCTCTGCCTGGGGAGTGGCTGTGGACACAGGCATGCGCAGCGCACTCGGCCTGGGCAGGAGGTTCACACTGAATTCCAGCCCTCAGCCTCCCAGGAGCCACCTCTGCCCCTCAGGCCATTTTGTTTCCAGAATATTTAACTCACGTCAGGCGGAATATTAGGACCTATTTTGGCTTGTCCTGTGGCAGCAATATCTGGGCCATATGTTTCAGGAATTAATTGTATTGTTTGTTATTAAATTTGGTATTTTATTATTTGTTTTTTGGTCAGAGGTGGGGATTGAACTCGGCCTGGGCGCTGTCCCTGCACTCTTCAACTCAAGGCTAGCGCTCTACCACTTGAGCCACAGCGCCACTTCTGGTTTTTTCTATGTATGTGATGCTGAGGAATCGAACCCAGGGCTTCATGCATGCTAGGCAAGCACTCTACCACTGAGCCACATTCTCAGCTCTGGATATTTTTATTTATTTATTGCGAGTACTGGGATTTGAACTCTGGGCCCTGAGTTTGCTAGGCAGATGCTGCTACTTGAGCCATGCCCCTTGGTCCTTTTTGCTTTTAGCTATTGTTATGCATTTTTTGTGCCAGTACTTGGGCTTACACTTTCCTTCCCCCCACCCCCAATGAAGGACAGTGCTCTACCATTTCAGCCATACTTCCATGCCATTTGGACATTTGCTAATTTGCACGTCATTTGCTAATTTGGACATAAACATCTCTTGGATATGTCTGCCTGGGCTGACTTCAAACTGTGATCCTCAGATTGCAGCGTCTTGAGCAGCTGAGATTACAGGGGTGAGCCACTGGTGACTGGCATGCTATTTTTCACTAGGGTCTCATTTATGCCTGGGCCAGCCTGGACCTCGATCCTCCTGTTTACTCTTCCTGCAGTTGCTGGGATTGACAGGTGTAAGCCACTGTGCCCAGTCAAGTGCTTTCTTTGCATACACAAGGCCCTGGGTTCTGGTTCTATCCCCAGCACCGCACAACAAACTAACAACACAGCAACAACACACATGGCTGGGGAACAACTCCCAGCCCTTTGGCTTTAACCAGGGACTGCAGGAGTGAGCATGGGCTACCATCTTCTTCCCCACACACGAGCCTCGGCGGCCCCTGCTCCCGTGTGCAGTCTCTGGCAGAAGGGAGGAGCTGGGGCCCAGGCCAGTCTGGAAAGCCAGGAGGGAGGCTGGGATGAGGACGGTGAGCCCGGGGTCCCAAGGGAACTTGTTACCTCACAGCAGGCACCAGGCCCTTAACGAGGTCCCTGGGGAGCCCCGCCCCAGGCTGGACAGCTAATGGGGCCCCAGGCCCAGACTCGGGGGAGAGGGGGAGTGTAGTTCAGAGTGCGAAGGGGAAATGCAAGGCCAGTTCTGCTTGCTTCGCTGGAGCCCAGGGGCCTCTGTATAGCCCAAACGCGGAGCCAGCCGAGCCAGCGAGCAGCTGCAGCAGGGTGGAGGTGGGCTGAGCCCCCTCTGCCACGGTCCCCGCTAGGCCTCCCCCCTCCCTTCACCGATTCATTCTCTCATTCCCGTTACTTATGTCGCTTCCTGTTCTAGAAGCTTCTCTGGAAAGTTCAAGCCCCACAACATTGCTGCATATGGGTTGTTGTTCACCTTGCACTGAAAAATCTTCTAAATGTGATATATACAATGGAATTCTATGCCACCATCAGAAAGAATGGCATTGCCCCATTTGTCAGGAAATGGGAAGACTTGGAGAAAATTCTATTAAGTGAAGTAAGCCAGGCCCAAAGAAACATAGGTCCCATGGTTTCCCTTATTTGCAATAACTAGTATATGTCTGAGACAAGCAGAAAAGGTCAGATAAGATGATGTTAAGTGAAATGAACCTCCAGATAAGGACACAAGTGGTTTTTTCTTTCTTGCTACTGCTTCTAAAGTATTTATGAGGTACCACATGATTTTTTTGTTGCTTTGTATGTCCCTTTCCCACGGTATAACCCCTGCTTTCACTGTATTTGATGTTGGTATAATTTGGGGAAGGGAAGGAAAAAAAACAAATTGTTTAAATAGGGATACAGGTTGACCCATTGCAACAATGAGATGTACAAGATGCAAAGTTGAAAAACGAACTTTACAATTTAGGTGTGGGGGGAAGTTAGGAGGGAGTGTAGTTGTGGAGATGGAAGGGATGGTAGGGGAAAAACAGAGGAGAAGACAACAATGCTTGACAAGCAATGTACTCATTACCTTGCTCATGTAACTGTAACCCCTCCTCAGTACAGTACTCTCACTTATAAATGACTGAAAAAAAAAAAATCTTCTGTTTACCACCTTCCCAAGCCAAGCCATCTTCAACTGTCTAAATTCCAGGAATTAACGGACAGAGTTGTCGGCACATACACAACGTGTCTACTTTTTCTACAGTATTAGCTGCAACTGCAGATCCTGTTTTATAGGATAAATGCCTAGATGCAGACTTATAAAACATGTTTACATACATTTTAAAACCAATTAAAAGCCAGGTGCCAGTGGCTCATGCCTGTAATGATAGCTACTCAGGAGGCTGATATCCAGAGGATGATGCTTTGAGGCCAGCCCAGACAGAAAAGCCCTAGAGATACTGTCTCTAGTTAACCAGCAAAATGCCAGAGTGGAGGCATAGCTCAAGTGGTAAAGCATCAGCTGTGAGTGAAAAAACTGAGTGACAGCACAAGGCCCTGGGTTTAAATTCCATGTCACCAAAACAAAGAAGAACCAAAACATAAAGTGAGCTGGTTTAAAGTTTATGACTCAGAAATCACAGGACATCACAAACCTACCCAGGTTTGGAATAAGCTGAGGGACAGCTCCCGAGCCCGGCTTCAGGCTACAGTACCCTCACCAAGGGGGTGATGCAGGACTTCCTTTAGCACCCGTGTTTCTGTGCGTCTGTCACCTGCTGCCTTCACCAACTTTAGGCTGTTCTTGCTCCTGGCTTTTGTTGATTTTTTTTTTAGCAGTTCCTCACATATGATGGCTTTAGCTGGGTATGCCACAAAGTTTTTCCCAAGTTGGTTGGTTGTATTCAGGCTCTTTAGCTTTTACTTTGAAAAGAACATACATAGACCAGGCAGCGGTGGTTCACACCTGTAACCTTAGCTACCCAGAGTCCCAACACCAGCCAAGGAACTTAGAGACTCTTATCTCCAAGTAACTACCCCAAAAAACCTGGAAGCGGATCCGTGGCTCAAGTGGTAGAGTGCCAGCCTTGAGCTTTATAAAAGCCCAAGGACAGTACCCAAACCCTGAGTTCGAGTCCCAACTCTCCCTTCCCCACTCAAAAGATAAGTAACTTTATTTGCAAACATGTTGCCGATTCTTTCCTTTGGGAGGGGTGGCTCTATAATCTGCCTTCTTTAGCAAGCACATGAATATACTTTCTCTGTGCATGTAACAGTGTGAATCTCTGAATGTGTACATCGTGTGTCCGAGTATGTATATCAATGTGTGTGGATAATGTTTACTGTGGAACCAGAGCAAGCTCATTTTGAATCTGGAAGTTTCTGATCACCTGTGTCTTTTTTTTTTTCTTCTGTCGGTCGTGGGGCTTGAACTCTGGGCCTGGGAGCTGTCCCTGAGCTCTTCATCTTCAGCTCAAGGCGAGTGCTCTACCACTTTAGCTACAGCACCACTTAGGGTGTTCTGGTGGTTTATTGGAGATAAGAGTCTCACGGGCTTTCCTGTCCAGGCTGACTTTTAACCGTGATCCTCAGATCTCAGCCTCCTGAGTAGCTAGGATTACAGGCGTGAGCCACTGGTGCCCGGCACACCTGTGTCTTCTTTGGGAAGATCTCTCGGCTAAACCACAGCAGAACACAGGATTGTTTTTCTGCCTTCGCAGCCCATGGCCCATGGCCCATGGCCAGGACTTCAAATGATTATGTGTAGATATATGGGCTGGGAAGGTGGCTCAGTGGTAGAGTGCTTGCCTTGCATGCATGAGGCCCTGGGTTCAATTCCTCAGCACCACATAAGCAGAAGAAAGCAGGAAGTGGCGCTGTGGCTCAGGTGGTAGAGCGCTAGCCTTGAGCTGAAGAACTGAGGGACAGCGCCCAGGCCCAGAGTTCAGGCCCCACGACTGACAAATACAAACAAACAAACAAAAACCTAAAATGTGTTTTGCTGCTTCACAGAAACAATGCAAACCCCCAATTCACATATGTACTGCACCCCCAAACAACCATTTACTTATAGCTATGTTTCCTGCAAGTATTTGTTTTTATTTTTTAGTGCCAGTATTAAGGTATGAACTTAGGGCCTGCGCACTGTTCCTTAGCTTTTTCACATGAGGCTAGTTCCCTAACCACTTGTGCCACAGCTCCCTTTAAGGTTTTTGGTGTTTAGTTGGAGATAGTCTCATGCATGTTCCTGCCTAGGCTGGCTTTGAACCACAATCCTCAGATCTCAGCCTCCTGAGTAGCTGGAATTACAGGTATAAGCCACTAGTGCCTGGCTAAGCATTTGCTTAACATAAGGAGATGGCTGTGAGAAACCTGGTTTCTGTGTTTGGCTGAACAAATGCTATGTGCAACTGCAAACCTTTTTTTTTTTTTTTTCAGTTGTGGAGGCTGAACTCTGGGCCTGGGCGCTGTCCCTCAGCTCTTCAGCTCAAGGCTAGCACTCTACCTGCAAACTTTTTTTAAACTAGCAACCCCCAAACCTGGCTGGGCAGCTGGCTTTCCACTGGAGCTGGCTAAAAATAACGTCCTAGCCAGGCGGGGTGGGGCTAGAGAGTGTCCGGCAGAGGTGTGTGTGTGTCTCTGCCTTGCAGTGGCCCCCTCCACTCGCCCCCCGCCCCCCCCCCCCCCCCACCTACCTGTGATTGTCTGCGTCTCGGAGGTGATGGTGGTGGTGGTGGTCTGAGCCTGGGTGATGGGCACTGTCTCCTCTGCCACGAACTGCACGGTGCCTGGCGCGGCCGCGGCGCTGCTCAGCTGGCAGCCGGTCTGCTTGTGGGTGACGAAGGCATCTAGGTTGTTGAATTGCTGCCGGCACACCCCGCAGATGTGGATGTCGGCACTCAGCTCCACCAGCACCGCCGTGCCACCTGGAAGCCCCCAGGACGAAGGTCACCACCCAGACCCATCCAGCCTGCATGCCAGACAGATTGGTGCCAGGGAGCAGGCGCACACGGCAGACATGGTGGACAGAGCCCAGGGCAGAGCAAGTGAGGAAGATCACACCTGCAATCCTAGCTACCTACTCAAGAGGCTAAGATCTGAGGATCTGTGGTTGGAGGCCAACCCAGGCTGGAATGTCTGTGAGACATTCTTATTCCCAATAAAACACTAAGCCAAACAGCAAGTGAGCTGAATGCTGGTGGCTCATGCCTATAGTCCTAGCTACTCTGGAAACAGATCTGAGGATCACGATTCAAAGCCAGCCTGGGCAGGAAAGTCTGTGAGACTCTTATCTCCCAATTAACCACCAGAAAATGGGAAGTGCCACTGTGGCTCAAAGTGGTAGAACATTAGATTTGAGCACAAAAGCTCAGGCACAGGGCGTAGACCCTGAATTCAACACACATAAAAGCTCCCTCCCATTTTGACACATATCACTCTATAAACATTGCTTGTCCCAATCAGCTCTGTCCCCTGAATACTTTGGAACCCCTTCAGCATAGTGCTAGAAGTTTCTGGAAAAAGACTGGTGTTCATGATAAAAAGGGAGCAAGCAGCAAGGCTCCAGTTCTCTTCTTTTGGCTTTCAAAGTATAAGTGATGCCAGGGTCTCTGCAGCCACTATGTCACTATGAGGAAGCTGCCAAGATCTCTGCTGATTCCAGCCCTTACAACTCTGAACCCTGAATTTGACCCTGGAACCAACCAATTCTAGACTTTCTGCATCCTTCAGCTTTGTTGTTTGTAATTAAAATTCATTCCTGACAGGGATATTATTTCTCCACAGAAACGACACTAAGAGTTCATATGTGTTCACTACTTGCAAGGAACCTAGCTGGGTATATAACACTATATTAGAAAGTACTACATAAACGTTTGTTAAGTATGAGAATATAATTAGTCTCTACTAGCAAAAGCTCACTTTTTATTTATTTATTTTTATATTTTGGGTTCGGTAGTGGGCCTGAACTCTGGGCCTGGACGCTGTCCCTCAGCTCTTCAGCTCAAGGCTAGCACTCTACCACTTGAGCCACAGCGCCACTTCCGGCTTTTTTTTTCCTTTTTGCTTATGTGGTGCTGAGGAATCGAACCCAGGGCCTCATACATGCAAGGCAAGTGCTCTGCCACTGAGCCATCTTCCCAGTCCTCACTTCTTATTTAAATTTCATTATGCTAACAAAGCACATATTGCAACACGTTTGTGTGTATATACACACATATAGACACATACACACGTATGTGTGTGAGGATGCTGGGTACTGGGACTTGTAGTTGGGCCTCCAGTCCTCGATTGGCTTTTGCCCAAGGTTGGCACTCTGCTTTTTTTTTTTCTTTTGGTCGGTCGTGGGGCTTGAACTCTGGGCCTGGGCGCTGCCCCTGAGTTCCATCAGCTCAAGGATGAGCGCTCTACTACTTGAGCCACTTCCGGTTTTCTGGTGTTTTATTGGAGATAAGTCTGCCCGGGCTGGTTTTGAACTGTGATCCTCAGATCTCAGCCGCCTGAGAAGCTGGGGTTACAGGCGAGAGCCACCGGCTCACGCGGGGCGCTCGGCCTTGGGATCCCGTCTGCGAAGCGGGGAGAGGGGGCTGAAGGGGGTCTGGTGGGGGGCTGGAGAAGAGCCAGCCCGCCTGCGCCCCGCCCCCCCGCAGGTCACTGCCGGGGTTGCCGGTCGGTAACCCTGGTCCGACCTCAACCCCACCCAGGGGAGACTGAGGCCGAGGGGGCGGGGCCGGGGGCATCCGCGCCGACTAAATTGTGCAGAGAGCCCCAGCCCACGGCTCGGGAACTACCCCGGCACTTGCGGCCGGCCAGGGGGTGCGGGCCCCCGTGCTCCCCGACTTCCCGGACCCCGGGAGGGGCCCGCGGGTCGCCCCGGGACCCCGGGCGGGGCCCCGAAAGCGTCTCCGCCGGCCGCGCGCCCGCAGGTGGCCGGCGCCACACTTTGAGAAACAATGAGTCGCGAGGACGCGGGCTCGGGCGGCCCCGGCCCGCGGGCCCCGGGACCTCCGTGACCGCGGAGGCGCGCTGCCGCTCCGCAAGGGCCCCCGGGGCCCCGGGCCCCGGCGGGGACGCCGAGGCCCAGGCCGGCCCCGCGCGCTGACCCGGTGACCCCTGCGCCGCGGCGGGAAGGCGCGAGGGCGGCGATCGGGGCACGGACGCCCGCGCGGGGCCCCGGGGCCCCCCAGGGCGCCCCCACCCGAGCCCCCGGACCCCGAGGCGCCCCCCGGCCCGGGCCCCGGGCCTGCGCGGCGGGCGTCGCCCGGCCGGGCCCAGGACTCACTCTGCACGGAGCCCGCCGCGCCCGCGGAGCCCGCGAAGCCGCCGTCGCCGCTCGCGTTCATGGCCGCGGGCCGCGCTCCCCGGCCCGGGCGCCGCTCTACATGGCGCCCGCCGCCTCCGGGTTCGCGCCGCCGCCTCCCGACTCGGCGCGGCTGGAGGACGGATGTGGAGCCGCACTTCCGCTGCCTAGAGGGCGCTGCCGCCCGCCGGCCGCCCGCTCCGCCCGGCCCCGCCGCCCCGCCCCGGCCCCGCCGCCCCGCCCCGGCCCCGCCGCCCCGCCCCGGCCCCGCCGCCCCGCCCCGGCCCCGCCGCCCCGCCCCGGCCCGCCCAGCCCAGGCCCACCCCGCCCCGGCCCCGCCCCGGCCCGCCCAGCCCGGGCCCGCGCCGCCCCGGCCGCCCCGGTCCTCCCAGCCCAGGCCCGCGCCGCCCGCACGCTCCGCCCGGCCCCGCCGCCCCGCCCCGGCCGCCCCGTCGCTCCGCCCGCCTGGCCCCCGCCCAGCCGCTCATCCCCGCCCCGCCCTGCTGGTCCTCCCCACCAGGGCCTGCTGCTCCGACCAGTCCCGTCCCGCCCGCCCCGGATGCCCCGCCCACCCCGGCCTCTCCTCCCCGCCCCACCCCGCCCACTTGCCCTGGCCACTCCGCCCCGCCCCGGCCAACCGGACCTCTCCTTCCCGTCCCTCCTCGCCGGGCCCCACTTCGGCCCCGCCCCGCCCCAGCCGTCCTGCCCCGCCCCTCCCCGCCACGCCTCAGCCTTGCCGCTCCACCCAGTCTGGCCCTACCTCGGCCCGGTTCCGCCTCTCTGCCCCGCACCGCCCCTCTGCTCCGCCCCACCTCGGCCCCGCCCCACTGCTCCGCCCCGCCCCGACCACGCCCACTGCACCGTCCCGCCTCGGCCCCGCCCCGCCGCTCCGCCCCTTCTTGTCTGGTCTCACCTCGGCCCCACCCCGCCCATCTCTTCTGCCCCAACTAGGTCCCGCCCCGCCGCTCCGCCCCGCCCCTTTCCTCGGCCCTGCCGCTCCTCCCAGGTCCGCCCCTCCCTCTCCACCGCCCCGCCTCGGCCCCGCCCCGCCGCCCCGCCGCCCCGCCCTTCCTTGTCTGGCCTCACCTGGGCCCCGCCCTGCCGCCCCGCCCCTCCTTGTTTGGCCCCACCTTGGCCCCGCCCTTCCTCTGGGCCCCGCCCCTCTCCCCGTCCGCCCGCCCCTCCCCTCGGCCCTGCCCGGCCACGCCGCTCGGTCCCCAGCGCGGTCTTCCTGGCCGCCCCTCACCTGGGGGCCCGGTGTCCCGTTGCGGACCGGGCCCTGGGGACCCGGCGGAGCCGCAGCGTCCGCAAATCCACCCGTCGCTGGGCGGCCCCGGCCCGATCCCCGGGATAGAGGGCGGTGGGGCGGCGCCCAGGTGGGTGGCGCGGGTCCGTGGCCCTGGGGCCCGGCCTCCGCGGCGCCGCCCAGCGCCCGGGAAGGACTTCCTGCGGGCCGGGCCGCGGGGCCACCCTGGGCGTTCCGACCCTGGGCCCGGGGCCGCGGAGGAGCACTTCCAACTCCAGCTGAGGCCCGGCCCGAGGTGCCGGGGCCCCGCCCGCCCCGCGGCCCCCCTGCCCGGCGGCCTCGTCCCTGCCTCTGGGCTCCGGGTTCGAGTTTACCTCCTTAAGGAGGCGGTCTCGGGCGGCCCGCGTCAGCGCTGCCTGTCCTCTTAGAACTTGCCGCGCCTCCCGCCGGACAGGGCCCCGCCCGTCTCCGGCCTTCCTCCCTGAGAGTGGGGGAGAGCCCGCGCCTCTGCGCCCCACGGCCCAGCCGGCCTCGGGCCTGGCACACAGCGGGCGGCCAGTCTGCACCGCGGCCGTCCGCTCCTCCTCCATTTACGCCCGGGTGTTTTGGAGGCCTCGGGGGCACCCGGCTGACTCAGTGTGCAAGTGTGTGTGCCCTCGCAGCACGGGCTGCACGGGCACATATGCACAGCGCATGCGCGCGCCTATGTGTGCCCGCATTGTAGGCATGCACTCCGGGGCACACATGCGCACAGGTGCACGCGCGTGTGGGTGTGTACACACACGCACATTGTGGCGTGGGACCTGCTGCCCTGCTGGTTCTACAGAGCTCAGCACAGCTGCTGGGGAAGGGGCTCCCTTGCTGCCTCTCACCGTCCCCACCTTCCCTCGTCCTTTGTAGTTCCTGCTGCCCCTGCCCCTGGTCCTGTTCTGGGCCCTTCTGCCCCAGCTCTCCTTTTCCCCAGGCAGAGGACTGATTAAGACCACTCGGGGGAAGCCTAACCTTTTCCCGCCAGGAACCAGGCCAGGGGGCGGCTGCCAACCCACTGAAAGTGTGAGTGAGCAGCCCAGCTAATAGAGCCACAGGGGGTGTGTGATAGGGGTGGCATGTAACTGCGGAACTGCAATTTGCACCAATTACATTCCCAACTTCCTTACCCAACGACCAATCACCAGCTTCCTACTGAGTCCAGGGAAGTACTCCCACCCACCCGCTGTGAGAAGACCTGCCAGTGAGCAGGGTCACCCAGACTTCACTGAGACTTGGGATGCCCAAGCTGGGCCTGGACCCTGGTGTTGTGACAGGCACAGGGTCTTCCGGCCACAGGCTGTGGATTCAGTAGCAGCTGTCGTGGCAATGCTCCTTGCAGCTGGAGTGCAGCTTCCTCAAGGCATCTGTGAAGAATTCCAAGCATAATCACAGGACAGTCCAGACAGCCAAGAAGACCCTTTTGATTGACAGCTCCCTGCTCGAGGGAGGGCCTGCAGCCATCAAGTCAAAGGACCAAACTGCATGGAACCCACTAACTTAGCTTACTTGCGGGAAATGCGCTTCTAATAAAGATAAATAATTGTGTATGGTAGGAGATAAGGGCTGTGGTTAGATACTGCTACTTTGTGATCATTGGGATGTGGGACTGTGGTAAAAACAGGATTGCGGACTAGGAGTGTGTGTGGGGAGGTTGAGTTGCTATGAGAAAGTCAGGGAAAAGGATTTCTGTTATCAGAAGTAGGAAAGAGAGAGGGGCACACCAAAACACGTCAAAGAGCCCACTGACGTTAGCTAAATAATAAAAGCTGAATTAAAACTTGGGTTAGCTATCTCATGATAATATCTTTTGAGCAAAAGTAAAGAACATTTTCTGTGGCAGAGACAACTATCTGCCCTTCAAAACCCCGTATGGAGTTGTATCCCAGGGACCACAGACCCAGCCCATCCTTCCCTTGGCATTCATCCCAGTGACAAGGCTCAGCCAATGACATTGAAGAAGGAAGTAAGTGCAGAGGGGCGTGGCCTTCCAGACTCTACCCTAGAGGAATGCAAAGCCACCAGATAGAAGGAGTCTGGGTCTTGAAGATCCTTCTGCTGACAGAAACACCCATCTCAGACTGTTGAGAATGAAAAATGCATTCCCATGACATATTTAGCCTTTGTAGTTGAGAGCTATTGATCTTTGTAGCTGGGTAGCCCTAACTTAAATACTTCCTGGAGTGTTTTAATGAAAATCTGGATTACCAAAACAGTTGTGATATGGTGCCTTCTGAATGGACAGTGGGCTGTGGATAAAGATCATCTAAAAAGCCAGGTGCCCATGGCTCACGCCTGTCATCCTAGCTACTCAGGAAACTGAGATCTGAGGATCATGGTTCAAAGCCAACCCCAGGCAGGAAAGTCCAGAGACTCTTATCTCCAGTAAACCACCAGAAAATTGGAAGTGGGGCTGTGGATCAATTGGTAGAGCGCTTGCCTTGAGCTGAAGAGCTGAGGGACAGCACCCAGGCCCAGTGTTCAAGCCCCATGACCGCCAAAAATAAAAAAAGAGAGAGCATCTAAAAGTAAGACGGATTAGCCCCAGCGACTCTGTCAGGAAAACAGAATAGAAACCTAGAAACAAGCCATGTCCACCCATGGTGTGGTCTCAGTAAAGATGAGTCTTTCTGTAAATTGAAAAACTAGATTCTTCCTAAATCCATGAGGTGAATCTAGATGCTGTATCTTCTAATATATTATGCAAAAGAGCAGGGTGGAGAATGCTTTTGGCGTGGTAATGACTTGTTTTTTTATAAAGGGAGGGGGCGTGAGCGGGCTGAGGGAGCTCAAGCCTGTACTTCTAGCTGTTTGGGAAGTAGAAATATGGGATCACAGCCCCAAGCAAAAAGAAGTTTCTGAGACTCCACGTTAGCCAGTGGCTGGGGGTGATGGCATCTGCACAATGGGTGGTGTTGGTGGTGTGTGCCTGTCAATTCCTACAACAAGGAGAAGCAGAAGTAGTCTTGGGCATAAAGCAAGATCCTACCCTCGTAGTGATTGACACAAGAAGAACTTGAGGTGTAGCTTAAGGAGCTTGAGGTGGTAGAGCATCTGCCTGGGAAACATGAAGCCCTGAGCACAATCCCCAATTCATCCCCCCTGCTTCCCCCAAAGTGGTGGTGATTATGGATATATCCTGTCATAAGAAAGTTACAAGATGGGGACTGGGAAGGTGGCTCAGTGGTAGAGCACTTGCCTTGCATGCATGAGGCCCTGGGTTCGATTCCTCAGCACCACATAAGAAAAAAGCCGGAAGTGGTGCTGTGGCTCAAGTGGTAGAGTGCTATCCTTGAGCTGAAGAGCTGAGGGACAGTGCCCAGGCCGAGTTCAGGCCCCACGACCGGACTTCCCCCCCCCCAAAAAGAAAAGAAAAGAAAAGAAAGTTACAAGAACACCTAATAGCACAGTTGCGGGGGTGTTGTCTACAAGAGAAACTGAGGGGCTGGAGAAGTTGGGGAGACACCTATTTTTCACTGTCCTTTGTGATGTCTGGGTGTTCCATGTTTGTGCATTGATTATATAAAGGAACACCTCAGGCCTGGGCAGACTTGCGCACAGGAAGTTCCCTAATTGGATACTAGTAGGTTCTACAGGTGCTGCCCAAGTTAGATGCAAGGCAAGACTCAAAGCCGGCTCTCATCGAAGTCCTTGGCTGTGCACTCTCTGCCTAGCAGTTAACTTTTTCAGTCTGTATCATACCCTCCTCAGAGAGGGCTAGCATTTATTTTAAGTGCCATGGGTTTTCATGATGTGTATACAATGGGTTTTCATGATGTGTATTCAG